TTGCAGGACATCTTGGAAAGCTTCAATACTTATCAAAAGATTTTTACAACAATACATGTAAAGTGTATCAAAAATTGTGGACCGACCTAATGTGTTTCCGAATGGAAAATGGATACGTGGCGTATCCAGGTACTTAATTGATTAACATCAGTCAAGTAATTTATACGACCTACTCACCTTCCTTTGGCATTTTAGTTTCAACTGCGAATGGCTCAGGCCTCGTTCACATTGATACGGAATCCACACATCAAGGTTTGTGCTTTTTTTGAATATGCATGCATGATACTTTGTAGTGGAGACAACTTTTATGAATGTCAAGACACAGCCAAGACAGAGATTTTATCCTTGAATCGACCTGCGCCTTTACAAAGGTTCATGGAGTTTTGTGCGCGGCTTACCCTTATGCCTCCTCCCTAGGGTGGTAATCAAGGTTTTGATCGTCGCTCCTAATCCAGAAAACTCCACCTTAGACAGACAATCTCGCTGACAGATGGATTAACGAAGCTGCGTTGCACAAGACGGCGAACTAGAGCGGCATTGTTCAAACTACATTTTGCTAAGGGTTGAAAGGTCAGAGTTATGGTTTTAAGGAGCTCGAGCTTCCATCACTGACTTGACCGAAGAAATAATACTCATCTTCTCCGGGTGAAGAAGTCACTTCCATGTCTGATAGAGCCTAAAAAGCTGGTTTCACACTTTTGTGTCTAATATGTAGTGTCAAGAACAAGGGCTAACCAGCGGAACCCTGGTAGGGGCGGGGCGTAAACCCCGCCCACATCACTGTGATTTCAAGAGATCTATGTAAACATTTTTTTCTCTTTATTACTGGTGAGCTACCCACAACGACAGTTCATTTTCGAAAGCGAAAATCACACTCATTGAATCACCGATTGCTTCTCTCCATTCGAAATTCCATTCCACTGTTTCCTATAGCTGAGGCAGAATGTGACTCATACGCATATTGTTAGTGTGTCAAGTCAAACTTGCGAAAAAGAGGCTTACAACAGCCCACAGCGAGTTACAGCTCATTTCCAGGTGACGAGAACAAGAACGAAAGGCTTTCGCGTTTTGCTGTGTTTGCTTAGCATAGTTCTTATATCCTGTGTATTCAAATATTTGGCTTCCGTCTCTATTTCCGAACTCCCTAGCAACTACGTGAGTTTTACTCAGGAGGGGAAACTGCACATCGTTCTCTCGACAAATTTAGCGCTTTTGTTCTAGGACGAATCAGAGAAAGCCAGAGCAGAAGAGCTGGAACTGGCGAATTTCTTAGTTCGGCAAAGTTTCGGTCAAGTGGACTACGCGGACAAGGTAATATTATAACAGTGATATAGGCGGACAGCTTCGTTGTTATATACGAACAACTCTTATGGATCAAGCTACTTACATACAACGTGATGTGAACGCTTGTGAGAAAAAGGCCGCAAAACTGCACCTTCAAGCCCAGCGCCACAAGCTTATCGATGATTCCCATGTCTAGTGGTTGGCGAAAGCTCATTACCTTGGTGGAATGTCAAGAGGAATTTTCAGGCGTGAGTGGTCTAAAGTTGGCTGATGTGGTTGAGTTTGATTTCTTTTGAATTTGGAAAATAATATGGAGACAGATCCGGCTCCCTGACGTCGGTCTTGCAAGTCCATTTGTAACCATGAGCCATCTCTCATCTGAAAAATACATTAATTTGCTCGCTGCCGTATTTACCCTCCCTTCGAAAAACGAGAAGAGCGTCGGGTGCAGACCATACTCACAAGTGACGAAGGCCTCCAAAGTAGATATGGTTGGTAGTGGTTCATAGTAATAGCTGATTTTGGTAAATGGTAGTTGTAATTAGTGACAACTGATAAATACAACTGCAACAGGCTAATCATTTCATTGGCAGAAACATTTACATTTTGTGGAGGCCGTCGTCACTTGTGGTGTATGGTCTGCACCCGACGCATTTTCGTTTTCTAAAAGCGAGGTAGCAGAAATGGAAAAGGGCATATCTGCAATCCTTCTCGTGAGAAAGTCGAAGCTACACCGATAAGAAGCAGTTTAATAACATTGCAAACGTCTCTTTTAAATGCCATTACTACCCACGACCATTGCCTTGTCATATCATCACATTTTGCTTGAACGAACATTGCGTGAACCGTTCAAACTATAATAGTTGTGGTCGGTGCCTTGAAGGTTCAATATTCCTGATAAAAAATGTTTTTGTCTTTGATGGCAGAGGTGAACGAAAACAGCTGTAGGCTCTTATGACCTCACCAGGAAGGTCTTTCAAGGGGTGCCAAGCTTTTTCAAAACAATCTTTCGCATGATATAGGGGCACATGCGGAAACCAGAACCACGCTTAATTTTTCCTAAGTCCTCGCTCTGACAAAAAGGAGGTCCCTGTTTCGATTCTTCGAAGTGACAAACTTTTGCATTTCGAGTTGACGTTTCAAATTGGATCGAAATCTATTCAAATGGAGTTAGCATGGTCGATGAATGCCATATTCATATTGGGGACGGTCAGTAACCCTTACGAATAGACTTTGAATAAAAAACTGGTTTAAAAGCTGTTACTCCAAAGCGGGAAACGTTGAATGACAGCTTTTTTCACCATTTTTTCAATCAAAGTCTATTTGTGAGGGTTATCAACGGTCCTGTGTATGAATATGGTATCCATCGTTGATGAAAGTCCATTTTGCGCGAATTTTGGAACGTCAACTCGAAATGCAAAAATTTGTCACCACGAGGAATCGAACTAGGGACCTCCTTTTCTGGTATTCAGAGGGCCGTTCAGGAAAAATTAACATGGTTCTGTGGTTCCCGCATGTGCCCTATATCATGCAAAAGACCGTTCGTTCAGAAAGCTTGGCACGCCCTGAAAGATATTCTGTTAGAGGGGATATACAGAAACAGGCATTCAAAAGCTTCGCGATAGGTGATTTTGGACTAAGTCCAGGAGAGGGCAAAAAGGCTAAAGGTTGCTCACGTCCTTCCCAATAATCCCTTCTCCCTCCTTCCTAAGGCTTAGTTTCAAACTCTGTGAGTGGCTCACTTACTTCATTTCCCTCTATAACGCGCAGCGGTATATACATAATGGAATGAGCCATACATTCTTTACTCGTGTACAATCGTTGTGGTAGTTGAATAAGTATTACGTATACAAGTAGTTGCAATAGCTATTCTTCTTCAATAGATCTTCGAAAGGACAGTTCTTATGGTTCGAGCTAACCTGTCGGCACTTCTTGCCATTGCCTCCGCTCTCCCTCCGTCCTGCTTTTGCCTCTACAGGGTGGCTACAAAGTATGATCCGGTATTTACTAGCATGTAAAAAAGTAAATAGCACAGTTCTTCAAGAAATTTTGTCAAATGGTAAGATCTAGATACAGGAACATTTATTCGTAGGTACTGTTCCGAAATGGTCGCCTTTGACCAATAAAGCTCTATTCTTGGAGATGAAGTTTCACGGTCGCCGCAGGTAGGCTGACACATTACGTTCCCTCTGAAGCACTGCTTTCAGGCTTTCCAAACTGCGGTGGGAGAAGACAACACTTTCTGCTGCAAATAGTTCCGAACGGAATAGACTATTGGAATGAGATCTGGGAAGTCAGGTGGTCACATGTCTTTGCCCCAGAATCCAGGAAAATGACAACTGGCAGAAGGAAGCCGTAGATTTCAACTCATGTGCTGGCGCCCAGTCTTGTTGCAAAATGAAATTTCGTAGTTCAAAGTGTTCACGGGCCCAAGGTATCAGTTCTGCCCTCAAAGCAACATTCTGATAGGTTTCCGAGAGTTGATTTCTGGATTTTTTATCAACAAAAACAGAGGTGTCCTGCGTTTCTATGTTCTCCGGCTCAAACGAATCACCTGCTTGGGAACCGGCTCTTGGTTTCTACCCATTTTCTGAAGCTTTTCTCTGACGGACCAAGCAGTTGCCGCTGGTTTCGGCTGTTGTGCGCGACCTCAACCGTGGAAGATTTTCTCGTCAGTCCAGACGATGTCTGAGAGGCGGCCGCACGAACTGTTGACAGAGGCTTCTTACATTTCTTCAGTCTATCCTTTCTTGGCGGCATAGACAGTGCATGCTGTTTGAAAGAAACATTCAAACAATTTAACTGGTGTGAATCCAGCTCAAATTTCAAGATGTTTTGAACAGTTCTTCGTGAGATACACAGATCTGAAGCGATCCTGTTCATACTGGCTTTATCATTTCGGGAGATCCTCTTCCTGATCGTTTTCCGAATCCGGTGGAACATTAACAGTTCCTGGTCAATCCTTGGGACATCTCCCAGTTAAAACTGGCAGCCTTTTGCGATCTCCGCGGCGGAATATCCTTCGTTCACGAAATGATGTGCGATGGTGGTGCGATGAGGAGACGTCGCATTCTCCCGAGGTTATTCGTACTGCCATCGTGATAATGCGACAGTGGTGCATAACCACATGCTCTATCCAGAACATATATTGCACACTTGAAACAGGGAATTACAGGTCAGCAAGCGACATGTAAATTGGCGGACCATACTTTGTAGCTCCCCTGTATAACCAGGGTGAATAGCGTGCGGAAATCGTTTCTTAAGCTCTGTGCTGTGTGAAAATAGCGTCGACAGTGAATGTACGTGCGGAGAACACTGACTTGCGTGTGGCGAGTAAATATTCGCGCGAGGCAGTATGACAGATCAGGCGGAATTTGCGACGTGTCGTTGACGAATCTCCGATCAATTTCACCCTGCCTACAACGACATCATCAGAGACCAGTCGTTCAGAGTATAGTCCCATTTTGTCCAATCAGATGTGCGCTTTTGCAGAGGCTTGCTGTCATCAATTACAGTGTCGTGCCGAAGATCACGTTCATGCTATGGGTTACATTACTTTGTGATAGTGCACGTACGAGCAGGGGATAGACCGACACGAGAGAAATGGCGCAAGACATATGGCCTGCTTCAGCAGGAGGTCTGTGGTCACTGTTTTTTTTTTCTTTTAAATTCCAAGAGGAAAGTCAATATGTTTTTTCCAGTTCAATTTTCGCATTATGTTCATTGCCGGGTTGAGTCGAGAGGAATCGCTCAATGATGACTTGAGAAATGAAGCAGCTATTCACGGAGATATACTACGAGCAGACTTCATTGATACGTATAAAAATCTTACCCTAAAGGTAAAATTAGTGCTGATAGTTTGACATTCTCAATCTTCAGGAGTAGAAGTTTAGTAGATGGTGAAGATCATAGACGTTAGACCAAATGTAGGGAATTCCTCCTAGAATAAAATGCAAGCCTTTAGGCCGATAGAAGATATGTGCGATTTTAATGTGTAAAATTAGCCCGTCCCATGAGTAATGTGGTCTTCTACAATGATTTTTTTTTGCTAAAAGCAGGTTTCACCATCGTTCTATGTATTATTCAAAGGATTAATCTACTCTACAAAGGCGAGTTAAATTTTCTCCTTTCTCTCTTCTTCTTCCAATCGTTGAACTTTAAGCCTGCGAACTGCGAGGTGTTGTCGGCGAAAATTCGCCAGACCGACACTAGCTCTAACTCTGTTGCCCTCTAACAATAAGAACCCTAAGGAGAATTTGAACACGTATCTCGCACTTAGTCATGACCTCTTCTAAACGTTTCAAGAATGGGTTCTTTAAAAAGCCTTGGCATGCTTCTTTTCGAATTTGGTTTTGCTGGCTGACCACTGCGTTTTTAAACTCTCGAATTTTTTTCTCTGCAACCTCATTGTTTTTTGTTCAGGCTAATATATCGTTATAAGCAGCATTTTTCTGGCTTATTCCACCACATTTTACTTTTCTAATTTACTTTATGAATTGTCGAGGATTTAGGTCCTGATGAGTGCCAAGTTACAAGTTTCACGTTATCAAAGAACCCCTAGAAAATGATAAATCTAATACAACATATCCTTTTCTAGGTTGCATGACTGGTCGTGACACTACCAGTATGTTTTTAACGCTGCGGCTATGATTTTAGGGCTTAGTAAGCCGTTAACAACGCTGAACATCGCCTCTGTGATAAGTCAATATCTGACAATGAAACGACGCGAGTTTTTGGGAAACCTTATAGCGGAACGTTCATAATACGTAGTACAGAGCAGGAGGTAAGTCACTGGTCGATCCTCCAGACTTTTGAACTCTGCGGGAAACCGTGTTACGGCTACTTTGTAGATTTGCATGAATTTTTGTCAGATTGAACCTCCTATTTTGCAAGAATATGGTTTAAAAACTCTTGTTGAATCGAAGCTCTCTATTTTGTAGAGCAGAAAAATCTCTTCCGAGCAGTGTAGGAATTAATGTGAAAAAATAGGACTCTAGCAGAAATTTCCTCATTTAAATCATTCACGGCCCCAGTCGTCAGACGCCCCTTTTCCACTTTTTCGGTCGCGTGGACGGACGCGATTTTGTGGGCGCCGCCTCACCACATAACCGCAGATTTTGTTTTGTAAATGAACAAAAACATGAATGTCACAAAATAATTTCTGCAATGTCCAATGCGTAAAGATTATCTAAACATATAACAGTAGGATTTCGATCAGAACGACAAATAGTGGTTACGAAAGAGAGAGCATTTATTCACTTTCCCCGTGAAGGAATTTGAAAGCATTTTACACTTCGATTACGAGGTTTGCCCACCTATCTGTCCATTCCTAGCGCCTGGCAAGCGATTATCAGTTGGCAGCCCATATGGGCTGCCATCGTCCCAGGAGCGCATGTTGTTGGCAGCCCATATGGGCGGCCATCGGCGTGAATGTGTTAAAGGCACAACACTGCTTATGGCCCAGTGAATCGGGACGTTGTCCTGAAAGCGTCAGGCTGGTTCGAGTCTCGTCGGGGATGGAATTTTTGGCCTAGATTCTGGCAACCAGTGAAAGCTGATCTACTCGCAAAAGTCTATTAGGTTGTCTCATAAGTAGTGGCGCATTTTTTCAAACGGAAATTTTTCTTGTGAACCTCTAATGTTTTACAATGTTTCATATACCATTCGATAGGAAATTATCTGCTCTACAAGAAGGTATGTACCCTTTTTTTGATTGTTGCAAATTGTTTGAGTTTTAGGCATGCAAAGTGGGAGCTTCAGACGACGAATTTTCGCCAAACCGACAGCTGACCTAAACTTTATACTTCCCTAGAAGAAATCAATCAATAATGTAACTATAACTTACTCATAACCTCTACTAAACATTCCACATTTAGGTTTCCCTAAAAGCTTGTCTCGTTTAATTTTGAGATTTAGTTATTCCAGTGCAACTCGGTGGTCGCCTGTCAACCCATAGAGCTTCGTTCAGAGTGGAATTTTCCATTCCGATTCTTAGGTATTGACGCCACTTTATACACCTTTATAAAGTGATTCTTCTGCTCTACTTATTTGCATTACGACCTTGGTTTTGATATCAATCATCGTCGAGTTTTAGCGTAGAAAATGGTGGTATGTCAAGTCGACGAGAAGGAACACTTCCGGCACCTTCTGCTGTTCACCTTCAACCAAGGATCGAGTGCCACAAAAGCCGGCAGGCAACCACCGAGTTGCACTGGAATAACTAAATCTCAAAATTAAACGAGACAAGCTTTTAGGGAACCTAAATGTGGAATGTTTAGTAGAGGTTATGAGTAAGTTATAGTTACATTATTGATTGATTTCTTCTAGGGAAGTATAAAGTTTAGGTCAGCTGTCGGTTTGGCGAAAATTCGTCGTCTGAAGCTCCCACTTTGCATGCCTAAAACTCAAACAATTTGCAACAATCAAAAAAAGGGTACATACCTTCTTGTAGAGCAGATAATTTCCTATCGAATGGTATATGAAACATTGTAAAACATTAGAGGTTCACAAGAAAAATTTCCGTTTGAAAAAATGCGCCACTACTTATGAGACAACCTAATACATGCAGTTGGCAGAGTATCGCTGGGCTGAGGTACGTTGCTGCCGTTTGTCCATCAGTGGAGGCAGTTGTCAAACTGGACGATGATGTCGCATGGAATATCCATCGCACGAAGTTGATAGTGGACTATGCCATAAGGAATGGGCATATTTACTGCGCTGGGTGAGTTACTCTGATCACTGTTTCCAATGTTTACATTTGATAAGTGATGATGAATGATGTGTTGTAGAGACCACTGCAATCAGATATGTTTCAGCTGAAGCTCAAGCAATAATTGATCTCAATTTTGTGTCCCATATCTGCTGAACGATTTTTTGAACAGAACCATGGAGGGTTTCATGACTCGGAGGAGACCAAGCTGCGCGAATATGAGACGCATACGCTGCTCGTGTTTTGGGTGGTGGGGTGGAACGTGGCTAAGCCGGTTTCTTTGTCTACAAACCCAAGAGTTTCGACACTTGATAATCGGAATTTCTCTGCGTTTTTTCAAAATTGCATCAGAAAATTTTAGCCAGTTTAGGGCACGATATTTTTTCGCGATTCACCAAAAAAAGGTGAACTAATAATTTTAGTAAGAAAAAATTCAAGCCTTTTATAGACTGTATCTTGGAACGTAAATCTAATCATTTTGCATTTGGATTACACCATTGTGTTCTGTCGTTAAAGGAATCTTCCACGGAAAAAGCTCCGCCTCCATTACCACAGAAAAACGATACCTTAGGCCCCTAGCCTCATGAGCATAGCAAAAAGAACGGAACATAAGCGTTAGTTTCGATAATACTAATCCTACACACAAGACAAAATGATCACTCTTTCCGTGGAAGATTCCTTTAAGGTATCGTTTTCTGTGGTAATTAATGAGGGCGGAGCTCCGTTTCCGTGCCTGAGCACTAGGTGTGTTATTTTCCGTTATGATGCGTTGTTTGGTATTTTATTATGGGGTATTATTTTGTTCAAAAATCAGACAAGTCTAGGGCCTTAGTAGGAGAAATCCAAATAGCTACATAGGATCACTCAATTTTTCCGTAAGATCGACCGTAGTACGACGGAGGGACACAGCGTTGTGAGAGAAAGCGGAGAGAGGCACGGGTAGATTGAGAGGGCGACGAGTTGTATCCGTGCATGCTGAAGTTTTGATAGAAATTACAGCGGTCGAAGCGTTTCAAAAAG